AGGGGTCAGACAGAGCTCAATAATCTCGTTCCATTCAGCTGTATCACAGAACACTAGCGTGACCATGATGACAAACAGGGATCTTAGACCAGGTCTGGGAATGAGATCATGGAATGTGTGAGGCCAACTTCAGAATTCTATCTATGAAAACATGCTCATATTTTCTTAGCACTGTGAGATGTGCTTTTTCAAAATGTGTTCTGCCTTTGGTTACAGTAATCTAAGGGGCATGCCCATAATGAGGGCAGTGCCTGGTCCCCGTTCTCCCCTTCCTTGGGCAACCTAGAGCTGAGGTCTCAAATTTCATTCTGGAGGTCAGGAATAAGAAAGAATGTGTAAACACAACTGTCTCGATCCATTTAAACCACTGTAACAAAACACCACACACTGGGTGGCTCATAAATAAGAGAAATGTACTTCCCACCGTTCTGGAACTTCCAAAATCAGCGTGCCAGTCCATGCAACATCTAATATGTACCTATTCCTGGTTCGTAGTCAGTTAGCTTCTTGTTATCATTTTGTACCTCAAAAGAGGCAAGACTGTGTCTCTGTAGTTCTTCACGGGACACTGATCTGATTTAGGAGGTCTCTGCTTTCTGGGTCCAAACATTTTCACAGGTTTCTCCTTCTAATAGCATCACTTAGGAGGCCAGGATTTCAGCCTGTGAACTGGAGGGGGGTGCAGGAACATTTTGTCCACCATAACAATTAAGATCACAGATGGACGCAACCTCTGGCCTTGGCAGAGTCATGGGGGAGAAAGGAAAACTAAACATGGACATGGGATAGTGCCAAGATCGCACAATAACTATTTTTTAATATTTTAAAGGCTATAATGTAAGAAAGGAATGTGCAGCGATACTTCACTTCTTTGCCCAACTCCAGGAGCCTAAAATAAAACTCATTAGGGAAGGAATAAGAAGATTTTTGGCTCTGTGCGAAGGGAGGTGAACAGATTGTTTGAGTTCCTCTGTTTGTGGCATGATGCTTTCCTTGGCACTGTTCCAGACTGAAGAGGTAACAACTTAGTAAGAATGACAAGAGGAAGGGGAGTCGGGTTAGGTGGGCCTCTAGGTTCCTCCTCCTTCTCCTTCTTCTCTGTGTCTTCTTCTGTTCCCCTTGCCTTCCTCTCCCCCTCCCCTTCACCTTCACCCCCACTCTTTCTCCTTCTCCTTCTTTGTTTTTACATGCACATGTAGAGGCCCATGGTTGAGTTCGGGCATCTTCCTTGATCACTCTCTACCTATTCCTCGAGACAGGAGCTCTCAATTAAACCCAGAGCTCACTCATATGGTTAGTCTATCTGGCTGGCTTGCTTCTCAGGGATCCCCTGTCTCTTCCTTCCAAGGTTTGAATTATGGAACAGCCACCATATCCACCCACTGTTTATACAGGATCTGGGGATCCAAACTCTGGCCATCTTGCTTGTTCAGCAAGTGTTTTAACCACTGAAACATCTCCCAAACACCCACATACACACATTTTATCCTTCCTTTTAAAAAAAAATGGCATAGCTCAGGCTGACTTTGAACTTATTATGCAGCTGAGTATGACCTTGAACTTCTGATCCTCCTGCCCCTTCCTCCTGAGTTCTGGAATTTCGAGCCCATGTTTCACACCCAATTTATGTTGTGCTAAAGATCAAACCCAGGCCTTCATGCATGCTAGGCAAACACTCCATGAACTGAGAGCTACATCTCCAGCATTCCCTTGAGGTCTTTCCAACCATGAGGTCACTGTTTGATTATGACATTGCTACTTCTTTTTCAGCTGTTTCTTTGGTCCAAATCCTCCAGTTTTTTCTGCTTGTTCTCCATCATGATGGGAAATGTTAGAGTCTAAAATCAACTTCACCACATCCTCTTTTCCAGTTACCTATTTTCACAATCAAATTTGAAAAAGCAAAATATGGAATGTAGATAGAAAGAAAAAATTGTTTATTATTGAAAGGCACAAGTATCCGGCCAGCAGAGCTTTGAGGGGTGACCATTGGGGTGAGACTCCGGAAAAGAGAGCTAAAACCAAGGATAAGAAGGATAAAGTATAGGCAAGACAGAGGTCTATCACGCTTTGTTTGGAGACAGCACAGGGTCATAAATGCCAGCGAAAACAAAACACAAGGAACAAGATTGATCCAACAGACTTGTGGTAGGAAGCTCAGTGAAATTTATAAACCTGGTTTTAATAAGATGGCATTACTTCCAGACTCAGAACCTAGCTAAGCAGGCAGCCTGACTTAGCCCTAGATGCGAAAGCAGTTCTCAAAAGACCAAACAAACAGTGAATTCAAATGTCAAGAACAAAAGGTGGCAGAGGCCCAAAGGGGTCAGAGTGGCTATTCGATGCCAAGTATTAAGAACTTCCCCGAAGACTAAGGAAGTCTTCATCCAACAACAAGTTGGAAACCATGTCACTCATCATTGGCTTTAGAAAGAACCAAGGCCAGATGCTGAAAGGTTGGTTCCCAGGTGACAGCATGCCCAGATGAACAGCCTAATCATGTTCCAGATTCCCAGGGTCTTCTACAGCCAACATCTTAAAAGCCTGATAGAAACTGAATTTGTCATTGCCTCCTCAGGGCTTCTTCAACACGAAGGGAAATCACTTTCATGAACATAAGATTTAATAATAATAAAATAACCAGGCAGGGGCAACGTGGGAATGAAGGAACAACTGATAGTAAAGAAATACACACAGAGAAAGCTGGATCAGGCAGGCTGCGCTCACATTGATGGAGGGTTCTACTATGCAACCAGGAAATTCAGCACATTTGGTTAGCAAGGCCGGGTAGCTTAGTAGGAGAGCAGTCTCAGGTTCAGGTTGTGGTCCTCATGAAGGAGAAAGCTGAGAGTGAGAGTTTTTACACACACTGATCAATCATCCATAAACTTTCAAACTTGGACCAGAGAAAGGGTTTCTCGTTTCTCTGGGACTCCCCTGCGGAAGGGTTTGCCACTCTCATGGGGTTGAGGCACTGGGGTTGTTGGCATGACCATACCCACCTCAACAATACAGATTTCCTCAGGAATTCACCCACTCTCCACACATCATTGAGCTTTGTTTTTGCACTTAGCCGAAGATGTATTCTAACATGTACTTCAAGAAAGGGTGAGGTCCCTGAGAACACTGAGGAAGAAAGAGCAGAGAAATCATAAGAGCCAGAGGACCAAACAGACTGATGTGAAACAGTGTCTTCTGTATATGAGAAGGATGCTGCAACCATGAACTCTCAACAGTACAGTGACTCGAACAAGACCCACACAAGATCATACCAATCAACACGGCATCATGGATGAGGGAAGGGCTCTCAAGGCTGTTGGTGGGAGCAGGCCGCTTGTTTGTCCCAGCCGCCCAGCTAACTTACACCCAAAATAACCACACAGAAACCATATTAATTAAAACACTGCTTGACCATTAGCTCTAACTTCTTATTAGCTAACTCTTACATATTAGTTTAACCCATCTCCATTAATCAGTGTATCACCATGTGGTAGTGGCTTACCAGGGATTCTAACTGGTGTCCATCTCCAGCAGAGGATCCATGGCTTCCCTTCCTCTGCCCCTTGTCCCAACATTCAGTTTTGTCTTTCTCCACCTACCTAAGCTCTGCCCTATCAGGCCCAAAGCAGTTTCTTTATTCATTAACCAATGAAAGTAACACATGAACAGAAGAACCTCCTACACCACAAGACCACACCCCCACATTGGTGGATGGCTTCTGAGGAAGGGGGAACAAGTTTTATTTTGGAACAAACCTCTAGATTGCAGGTTGACCATGCCTACATGGTCAGTCCCACAGCAAAGTACATAGGCACAGACTAAATATACTCAGTAGGGTGTGTGTGTGTGTGTGTGTGTGTGTGTGTGTGAGAGAGAGAGAGAGAGAGAGAGAGAGAGAGAGAGAGAGAGAGAGACTAATATAGAGGAAAATGCCATGAATTTGGAAGTGTGGTGTTGGGGGATACTGGAGGAGTTGAAATGGGGCAAGGAGAGGTGGATATGATGAAAATACTTTGTACTCATGTATGAAATTCTAAAAAAAATTATTTATAAAGCAATAAATAAATAAATAAAATGTTTGAATTTAAAAAAAATGTTTTAAAGCTCTGTTACCTGATCAAAAGTAGCTCACTGTCTGCAGATAAAATGATCTTTCTAAGGAGAGGAAATGTCCTCAGCCCATGTTCTCTAATCTAACAGAAATCATAAACTTCTAAGTCCTTCCACCCATGTGAGCTGGTGTTCACCATAGATGGACAGAGATGGTGAGGAAGAGTGCACATTGCCATGTGTTGACTATTTGCACACTCAGAATTCATTCATAAGTAGGAGTATTAGCCCCTAAGGTACTGGAATTTGAAGGTGAGTTTTTCTCTATTTCCCTAATTACTTCCTAGGCATAGTGCTTGCCTCCCAAGTGGGGACTCTCTGAAAGTGTCAATGCCTTGTCAGTTTCTGCTTTTATCCCTACAGGAAAATCTATTGTAAGGTCAGTCAGTGAACAGCTGCTCATCCTTTTCCTCGATGTCAGGACCCCCACACCCTCCGCTCCCTTTCTCTTCACCAGTTGCCTTCTCTCCACTACCTCCCGGCGCCTTGGGATATAAAATATTGTGGGATATAAAAAATAGACTTTTTATTGGCAAAGTGCAGCAAGGGTACCAAAGTATAGGACATGCCTACTTCTCCTCCTAGCCACCTGCCTTCTTTTTCACAGGATCCGTGACAGTTCATAATCCAGTATTTGTGTCTATGCATAACCATGTAACTTGGCTGTTTCTTGTTAAGACTGGAAACTCTCTGAGGGCAAGGAGGAAACAGGGGTTGTTTGATCCCTGTGATATCCTAAAATCAGCCTAAGCCCTAGCCAGTAGTAGATGCTCAAATGCTTGTTGAATACATGAAAGTCTAAACAGAGTGTCCAGATAAAGTGCTTCCCTGGTTCTTTGCATTCTTATTCTGCCAATTTAACCACCCAATCACTCTTCTGGCTCTTCCAGGCGGCACAAGATATACAAAGAACAATTCAACCTCACCTCCTTGGATCCCCCGCTGCAGTTCCGGCCAGAGGCCAGCTGGGTGCAGTTCCACTTGGGGATCAACAGCCACGGCCTATACTCTAGGTCCAGCCCTGTCGTCAACAAGCTCCTCCATGACATGAGATACTTCCCTACCATCAGCGCTGGTGAGGTTCATGGGGTTAGCCAGGAGGAGCTGTCTTTCTCTCAGAGGCTGAACTGAGCCCTCTCAGCCCAGGCTCCGGGAACTAGTCAAGGGTTGACACCACTATATGATTATACAAGATTAATAAGAAGCAAATTGCGTTCCATTTGAAGGAGATCTTACAGCATTAATCTCATCACAGAGAGAAACCTAAGACGCAACAGAGACTTAGATGCTCTGCTCTCTTCATGGAAAGTGATGTCATTGTTTACTGAGTGCATCCTTTGTACCAGGTGATGCGTTCTTTCTTATACCCATCTGGTGTAAACATCACTACCATTTATAAATGGGGTTAGGCAAGCTGGGCAAAGCCAGTGCCGGAGCTAGGGTTCAAACAGAGGCCTACTCACCCCAAGTTTGTGCTTTCAAGCACCTATGACAAGACAAGTGACATGGGGGAGTTATTAGCAGAGACTGAAATAGACCAAGAATGGCTGGAGTATCCAGGGAAGGGCTAGAAAGAATGGAGTCTGGGCAGGAGCAGGAAGACACTGTAGCCTTCTGGGTCCTCATGCCTGAGATTCCCAAGCTTACATCAGTCCCTCCTCCTGTGGAGCGAGGTCAGAGCTGGGAGCCTTTCTTTGTTGGGATCACTGCAGGAATCGCTCATTGCCCTTCTTCTCCTTCACAGATTACAGCCAGGATGAAAAGGCCTTGCTGGGGGCCTGTGACTGCTCACAGAGTAAGTGACCTGACCCAACCTTCAGCTTCCAACGGGGGCTCTCCCTGACCAGTCTCTGAGAACTCAACACTCCCCCCAGCCTCCCATAGTAAAAGGCATCTTAGAAACTCTGGGGAGCATCAAAGTGGTCAAATGTGATGCAGGCCAGAGTACCATCAGCATCATTAGGGAGCGTGTCAGAAACACAGAATCTCCATCTCTGCTCTGACTCTCTCCATCACAATCTGACTGTTGACAGAATAGCTGGAGATTGGAATAGGATTTCAGATCCAAGAGGCACTTGCACAGGACAGTGGTTCCTGGTGCTGCATCTTACCCCTGAGGGCTTTAGAACGAGCTATCGTCTGGCTCTGCCTCCAGACATCTGGGCTCAGCTGCAGAGAGGGAAGCCCATGGCAATGTTTTTAAAATATCCCAGCTGATTCTCACGCAACCACGGTTGAAACTTACTGGGGAAAATGTCAGACAGAATGGGAAAGCCAAGAGAAAAAGGTATTGGGGCTGCCCTGAGGGTGCTGCAAACCTGTCTCAGGTAGATCTGAACAGTGAAGCCTGCAAGCTGCCCCCAGCCCTGAGGGGCCTTCATTATGTGTGCTGAACACACATCTCCACATATGCATGTGATGACACACGCCTTGACACACATATGCATGTGATGACACAAACCGGGAACTTGACACGCTTAAGCGGGAGAATCTTGAGTCCAAGGTCAAACTGGACTCAAAAGTTCAAGGCCAACCTATGCTATACACAGCTGACCCTATCTCAAGGTGAAGGAGGGAGAAGAAAGGAGAGGAGAGGAGGAGAAGGGAGAGCGGGGAGGGGACAAGAGGGGAGGGGGAAAGGAAAGGAAGAAATTGAAGAAAGGAGGGTACAGAAAAGAGATGAAAAGGCAAGAAGAGTAGGAAGGAGAAGGGAGGAGAGGCAAGGAAAGGGAAGGGAAGAATGACAGGTTAACGAGAGGCGTAAGTGTCATGATAAATCTTCAAAGTCATGAATTCTCAGGTCCATACATGACATTCTCAAAAATACTCTTTTAAAATCAGAAGCAAAAGCTCCTGGGTTTGATCCAAGCATCGCAAACCAAATTTGATAAAAACAAGAATTTTACAGTCTTAAAGAATCTTAAATGGAAGCCATTATGAACACGGACATCTAATTCAAAGACATCATAGCAGGGAATCTTAAGATCACAACTGGAATGAAAAGAGAAACCTGGTCCTTTTAGGAAAACAACCTATGGGGAGTTTCAGTGCATATACTTGGGCAATCCTGTTCCCCAAATATCTGTCCTCTTCCCAAACAGACAGAATAACTGTACTGAATCTTCTGAACACGGCCAGACAGGGTGGGGTTTGCCCCTCAAGCTTCACAAAGCATGTTGCCTTTGGGGTCTTCTTCAGTAACAGAAAAGGACTGGGCTTATGAGTGGTGCGTCAGCCCTGAACTTAGACATCACCCTTTACCCCTCGTAGTTGTGAAACCCAGTGGGGTCCACCTGAAGCTGGTTCTGAGGTTCTCGGACTTCGGGAAAGCCATGTTCAAACCCATGAGGTAAGTGAACCTTCCTCACCGCCATGCCCCTGGTGGCAACTCTGGAGATAATAAAGGTAACCCAGTATCCTCATCCATGTCTGCCTCACATGTAGAACTATGTCGGTGACAGCGGTGATAACTAAAAACAATAATAGCCACTCTTATTGTTGAGCTGGGTCCTCGGAAGCCTCAACGCTTCACACACAACATGAATTGTGGGTTTGGACATCAACAGTCTCATGAACCTCGTGACCCAAGTGTTACTATAATGTCCACCCCGAGGTGAACATACCAAGCCTGTGAGAAGCCAGCTTCTCCCAGACTCCACACTGCACATAGCAGGCCCAAGAATTAGAGCCAAGCAGCTAGACTGCTGAGCTGGCTCGCTCCAATAATGAATCCTCCGCCTTGCCCAGCACCAACAATCACCCTGCCTTTGACATCACAAAGTTTACTTCACACAATACTCGCTTTGACTGGAAACAATGAGGAAGGTTGCTATGAAGTCCTGTCCGTGTATACGCTAATCTGTATTTTATTCATAACAACACTTTCCGTGTCTTCGGGCTTTATAGTACATGTCCATGAGTGAAATGATGGCAGACTTTGGTATGGGCATGCATTCATGTGTGTGGGTGTGTGTGAGTATGTGTGGGTGGGTGTCTGTCTGTCTGTCAGGGTCTGTGTGCATGTGTATACTACCAGCCCCCCAGAGGGTCTGCGGGCCAGAGGCCTGGGTTTCCTGGAGTAGAGTGCAATGCCTTGGTTCGTTAGAATGTTCTCTTGTGGATGACTTAAATAGGAAAGAATGTCCCCATAAAGGGTTCCGTTGCTCGAGTCGTGTGTTCCTCCAGAGTCTTCTGCCTTCTCGTGCTGTTTATTCGTGTTAACTTAGATCCACATTTTGCAGTCCACTGACCAAGGAGAAGCCTAGTGAACAGCCCAGTCACGGGCTGTGGTGGTGGAGCCGAGAGACCTGAGCTCTGAATGTGTCTCAGCTTTCTGACTTAGGGGACAGAAGCACCTCTTTAAGTACAGGGTTGCAGTCGGTGAGCTGCGAGTTGGATTCCCTTTGGAACTTTGAACAGCTGCAATGTCTCAGTCACACCCCCTCAGAGTCCGGTGGGCTTGCACTATGTGGTACCCAGGAGAGGACTCAGGTCATCAGGCTAGGTGGCAGCACCCTTACCAATTGGGTCATCTCACTGACTCCAAGGTGCTCCTCTAAAGTGTAAAATGTGCAATATATTGGACACGAGACGCACATCCCTTAGTGCTCACAATAGAAGAGCCATTGATGTCAAGTAAAAATAACGTGGGGTGTGTGTGTGTGTGTGTGTGTGTGTGTGTGTGTGTGTGTGTGAATATGCAAGAGAGAAAGAGGGGGGCATTTCTCTGTGTACCCCTGGCTGTCCTGGAACTCACTCTGTAGACCAGGCTAAGGTGTGACCTCCCACCACCCAGCCACCTTCCAATTTTAAATCCATCATATTCCACATGTAAAATCTGAGAAATCTTATATTCTCACAGGAGAACGCAGCATCCTGCAAGGCCCTCAGCCTGGATGTGAGGGCTACGCTAGACCTGGCTGCATCTCTAGGCTCCACTTCCAGCAGCCTCACTGCGGGGGTTTCAGCATTGACTTGGGCTCTCCTCTGGCAGCGTGCCTTACTATTTGGCTTGGGGAAGCTGGCTGTTTGCGTGGTGGGTTTTGTGGCTCGACGCCCGTTTATGCTTACCTTTGCTTTCCCAGTCCTTGGAGCAGGTTGACACACTGTACTATAAAATTATTCCAAGACCGCCATCCTTATCATTTATTAGTGTGAAAGTGAAGTCAGTATGGAGGCCGGAAGTCGGCCCAGGATGCCAGAAGCGCTTTCCTAACATCTCCTAACCACACCTCCCGGCACACTCCTCAAGGCGACGCTCCTCAGCAATCCACTAGCGACTTGGAAACGGAACCAGATCAATTTCATCTCTGTCAGCCTCCCTCAGTCCTCTGGCTGGGCCCATTCTCAAGCCTCACCTGAGCTTCTAAAAGTTCTGTCACCTGTATTTCTCCCTCAGATCCATATCTTTCACAATCAGACTGAATTCCTTCTCTCGCACTTTCTATGGCCAGGTTCTGGCTCACACCTCACCTTTTCTCAAACTTGGGCAATCCAGATCCCCCACCACCACTTCTGATAGCCTGCGTTCTCCTGCTAACACCTGCACGAGAATGTTTGGCTTTCTTCCCTCGGTTTTTTTTTGGGCAAAATCAGCCGCTGTCTCCCAAAGCCTCTTAAGCAGGAAACTTCGCAATGACGGTGCCTATAAAAAGCCTGCCTCTTCCGACATTACATGTCTCCTCCCCACTCAGGAAGGGAGAGGCCCCGTCCTAATTTGTGGGTCCACCATCTACACCCACATGAAAAGCATCCGAGAGGCTCTCTCCTCAGGCTTCCTACGGAAGGCTGAGTCCAGGGCATGATTCCTTCCTTCCTTCCAGACAGCAACGAGAGGAGGAGACGCCCGAGAACTTCTTCTATTTCATAGACTTTCAGAGACACAACGCTGAGGTCGCAGCTTTCCACCTGGACAGGTAGGTGCAGCCCCTGGAGATGACACAGACTGCAAAGAGCCAGTCCCCTCCTGGGAGGGGTGCTACCCAGACCTCTGGGAAGAACTCGACAATACTTGTTCCTTCTGGCTTTTCATCTCTTCTACCTCAAGTGTAGCGCCTTCAATTTCTCCTTCCAACCCCATTAGGTTAAACACGCAAGGCCTTTAAATGTAATGAACAGTTTATGCATGTTTTTATTTTATCTTTATATTTTTTATTAATCTTTTTGTTTGTTTTGCTGAGATGGACTGTTATGTAGCCCAGCTTGGCCTCTACTTCACTTCAAAGCTGAGGCTAGATTTGAACTCCTGATCCTCCAGTCTCTGCTTCCCAAATGTTGGGATTACAGGTATACACCGCTATGCCTGGAAAAATGAAACAATTTAGAAGACAGTCAGTCACATTGCCATGGTAGCAATGACATTGCCTTCTGTCCTACTTCCTGATCTGGAGATGAGAAATGCAATCCTATTTGCCACGAGATCAGAACATGTATTTTGTCTAGATCCTCAACTGACTATCATGCACGTTCAAGTCTGAGAAATACTGACCAGGACACAATGTGGATGCCGGGAGCATTCACCCGGGAGCTCAATGGAAGAAGGACCCATCCAGCATAACATTCAGGGTGGGATCTGCCCTGGACTTGATCGGGTCCACGCAGCAGAAACATCCTGAGCTGCTACACCACTGCTATATTAAGACATATAAGCCAGGTCCTAACAAGCTTTGGCACAAGTACGGGGCTCTTCCCCAGCCCCTGTCTGGCCCTCAAATCTGAACAAGGCTCCTTCTCTTCCAGGATTCTGGACTTCCGACGGGTGCCGCCAACAGTGGGGAGGCTAGTGAATGTCACCAAGGAGATCCTAGAGGTCACCAAGAACGAAATCCTGCAGAGTGTTTTCTTTGTCTCTCCAGGTGCAGTATCAGCCAGAGGTATCATGTCCGCCCTTAGGTTCAGTGGTGGTTTGAGCTCTGCTATTAACATAAGCATTGTTGGGGTGGGAGGGTGCTGCCACCCAACACTTCCACCCATGCCTGCTTAAACATAGCACCAGATAAACTAAGGACAGTAAGAAGGTGTGTGAGATGCTGACCCATCCCCACAATGCTGGCCTCTCGGGAGCCAGAGATAATCCGTCCAGCCTACCAAAGAATGTTCACCACACGATAGGATGCTCTGAGACATTTGAAACTTGGTACCCAAGATGTTCTGTTCAGTACCATCTTCTAGGCCCAACAGCCTTTTCCTGAGCTGGGAGTTCAAAAGTCCCCATCCTACTCCCAAGGGGTTTCTTAGAGCAAAAGATGACATAGCTCTAAGCCCCCATTGACTTCTCTCTCCTCCCTCCACTTCCAGCTAACAACGTGTGCTTCTTTGCCAAGTGTCCGTACATGTGCAAGACTGAGTACGCGGTCTGCGGCAACCCACACCTGCTGGAGGGATCCCTCTCTGCCTTCCTGCCGTCCCTCAACCTGGCCCCCAGGCTGTCTGTGCCCAACCCCTGGATACGCTCTTACTCACTGTCGGGAAAAGAGGAGTGAGTTGGCTTCCTGACCACAGCACCAGGGCCCTGGGGTCCTGCTCTTCGGAGTGGCCACAACTACCACTAACAGCTGCCCCATCCTCTTATTGATCCTAGGGCCAACAGATTAGATGGTCACTTCCTGCAGTTCATGTATTAGGCTGTAAAGTGCTTATTCTATAGCAAAGAACCGCATAGGAGGCTGGGGAGATGCTCAGTGGGTAGTGCTTGCCGTGCACGCATGGAGACCAGAGTTCAGATTCCCACTTAAAGAGCCAGGCAGGGATGGCAGCTACCTGAGAATACGAGAGACAGAGACGCTGGCTCCCCACCTCAAAGTGGCTAGATAGACCAGAGAGAAGTGGCAAGTTCTGGGTTCAGCAACGACATCACTTCAATAAATAAAGTGGGGAGGGATGGAGGAAGACACTGGACATCAACTTCAGGCCCCTACACACATGTGTACATACACACATGAACATGTGTACATATACACATGCATACCACATGCAACTCAATAAAGAAACACACAGAGATGAGAGAGTGAAACCCCCCGAGCAAAACCCACTGGCTGTAGGCCCAGGGCCTAACATATCTGCACAGCAGACACACCAAAGGAGCGGGCTCAACAAACAGGTCCATTGGCAAATCACCGCAGTTCTGATGGGAAGAAAAGATGACAGAATTTCTGACAGACAGGACTTTGTGAGGCTGTGTGAAGGCGGGGCATGTAGCAGAGGCCAGTCTGTGGGGGTTCATGGGTGGTGTAGGAGTTCTAGAGAACCAAGACAAAGAGCAACCCAGTGTGATGCCTGCCTTCCCATCACCTGGAATCTGCAGCCTCCCTTCCCGAGTCCTCCTGAAGAGAGCCAGCTACCGCCTAGCATCCTGAAGTCACTAGCCCAGGGCAAGCTTGGGGGAGCCGGGATTCGGGAACGTGGGGATTGTGTGGAGAGGGCCCCCAACACCCTGGCATCTTGGCTTTTCCAGCCCCAGGACTTCTTCTCCCCCTCAGGTGGGAGCTCAACCCCCTCTACTGCGACACAGTAAAGCAGATCTACCCATACAATAGCAGCAACAGGCTCCTCGGCATCATCGACATGGCCATCTTCGACTTCCTGATTGGTGGGTACCCCACGCAGGGCACCTGGCAGAACTGCACTGTCTGTGCTTTGCCTTCAAACCCTTGCTCTGATCTCTCCCCTCCGTTGCAGGAAACATGGACCGCCACCATTATGAGATGTTCACCAAGTTTGGGGATGACGGGTACCTTATTCATCTTGATAATGCCAGAGGGTAAGCGCCCGTGACCACGTCCCAGCTCTCCGTCTCCAGCCGTACTTCCTGCAGCCGCTCGGACACTGGAGGCCCTGAGGAGGGCCTGCGCTTTGCTAAGTACCACTGAGCCTCCAGTGTCAGAGCACTCTGGGGCCCACCAGGGAACCAGGCTGAGAGTCCCCGTATCTTTTCACTAGCCTTTACTTTCCTCTAAGCAGAGCTTCAGCCGCTGGCCTGCAGAGGCAGGGCGGAGCTTGGTTGTAACTTCAGAGGCTTTTGTGACCTGAGGAGGGAGCTATTGAGACAGCTGCCATGATGTCTGGCACCGTACCCCAATTATGTAAAGTGTGAGGGAAGAGAGCATCCAGAGAGTGAAAGACTCCAGGCTTGCTGAAGCCCGTTTCTTCTCCTAGGTTTGGACGACATTCCCAGGATGAAATCTCCATCCTCGCCCCTCTCTCACAGTGTTGCATGTAAGTGTTTATTCTATGACATACCAAGGGCAGGCGGCAATTCAGACATTTCGTCCTGCGTGGAGCCTAGCATGGAAGCCTTCATCGGTTTTCCCTGGTCAAGGACGTTATGGCAGAATGATGTCAGCTGCCTTGCTTTCCACAGGGCAACTTTCCCCCAGCAAAATCTGCTTTAGCAGAAACCGAGTTTAGGTCTGATCTTTTAAAGTCGCCAACTTTAATCTTTGGCCCACCCTGATAATGATCCACTTTTGCAGATACCAACGCTCTTTGATATTAATAATAAGTGGCCCTTCACTTTTCCTGGTCCTCGTGTAGGCTCTGAAATATTAGTATTTCATCACCATCTATGCAAAACCCTGACCGACGTCTGGTAAGCTGGGTCAGACTCCAATTCCATCCCCTTCTCCAAAGGACACCTGCTTCTGTATCTGTGGCATTTTAACCAGGCTGGTGACAGTAGGTCCCTTTTGGATAGAGCTAATTATAAAGGTGTGTGTGACTCCGAACTAACAAAACCATCCCATTGGTTCCCTTGGCACATGCGTGATCCAAATCAACACCTTGGGTTAATTTAAGCATCTCTCCCCGAGTGGTTGTTTGTATCCAAAATCAGCCAGTTATGCTGCTTGCCTGAGTCTAAAAGAAATCAAAACTCTAAAGTCAAAATGGACCTAGTGGCTTGTCATTCCTACGGTATTAGAATCTGACGCAGGAGACACATTCTGAAGTTGGCAAGAGGAAGTTAAATTTTTAAACAATTTCATTCACCTACTGGAAGCTTCTTCCATCAGCTTTAAATCTTAAAAAAAAAATTAAAAAAAAAAAACAAATTCAAGTACCACTTCATTTGACTCTGTTACCACCATCAGAGTAATTGCATATGGCTTAGCATCACCATGGATGGCATTACAATTACTAGAGTTCTCGGTTCAGTGGGTAAAGGGACCAGAGTTGATCTGCAGGACCCACATGGTAGAAAGAATCAAGTCGAAGTTGCCCTCTGATTTACACGCACACATGCGCGCGCGCACACACACAAGATGTGACGGAGTGCTAACAGCTTGGCAACTCCTGACTAAAGACGACTGGACGAAGGCTGCTGCCCCTACTGCTAATTCTTTTTCTATGTGGCTTTCACTGAACTGTGTTTGCCTAGAAATAATAGCTCCAAGAATACAAGCTACAAGAGCTGTTTGTGGGAACTGGGCAAGTGCAGAGCAAGCTCCTCTCCTTAATTTGCTGACCTGGTTCCACTGGCTTTGTCTCACCAGGATAAAAAAGAAAACACTTCTGCACCTTCAGCTGCTGGCTCAGGCTGACTACAGACTCAGTGACGTGATGCGGGAGTCACTCCTACAAGACCAGCTTGCCCCTGTCCTCACGGAACCCCACCTCCTGGCCCTGGACCGCAGACTCCAAATCATCCTGAAGACAGTAGAGGACTGCATAGAGGCCCACGGGGAACAGAGGGTCGTAGCTGATGGCCGAATACAGCAGTCAGCCCCAGACTCTGGCCAGGCTAATCTGACAAGCTAACGGCTAGCTATAAGGGTGAAACCTCAGGACATACAATTGGAGCCAGTGACCGGTGATGGTGTGTGGGCCCCTGCTGCCCCAGTCCACCCTGGGGTGCTGCAGCAGGCCAAGTCATGAGCTCAGGGAGGAGGCAGGAATGCTTTGAAAGAGCAAGTGGGATCCACCAAGCCTTATCTTTACCCTTGGATGGAGGTCACTGCTTTTACAGTGCACTGGCTGGGGCTCCATCTTCCTAGCAAGGTCTGGCTCCGTCAAGGCTGTGGACTGTCTTCTGAGCACACTGTGAAACCCAGAGCTGGGCCAGGCTTGGAAGGTGTGGAGGCCCTGTTCTCGGGAAGTTTTTACTCTGCCATGTCAAATAAAGGGACATCAAATGGACAAGTGGCTTCCTCCAAGTCCTTACTGTATATGCAGGTACAGTATACTATTGCCTGTTCCACACTTAAAAAAACTCACCTCCCAAACAGACCTAAAACCTATACATCTCAAGTTGATGCAAAAATAAAAATCACCCTTTCCACCGACATTCCAGTCCCTAACACTATTTAAATACAATAATCCCCACCAAGTCACTCTCCAGTAACTTCTTGGAAATACTAACCGAAGGTAAATTTGCTCAGAAAAGGGGCACTTCGGTCTGAAGAGTACCGGCAACTGAGGAGCTGTGTGCCTCACAACCGGCCGAGTGCTTGCTTAGCAGATGCAGAGCCCTGGGTTGGACCCTCCCATCCCCCCAGCATCACATAAAACCGGGCAGGCTGGCAAAGCTCACAATGCCAGCACTCAGGAGGACCAGAAATTCAGACATCCTCAGCTACACAGTGAGTTCAAGGCTAGCCTAGGCTGAGTGAGAAAATAACACGGTTAAGTCAAAACTGACGGTCAACACCCAGGGGAAACTGGCAGCAAGTTCGGATCACGTGGGTGAAGAGCCGAGTAAAAATAAGTGGCTTCAGCGGGTCACTTTATCTTCTGATAAAGGCCAGAGGATCAAAAAGAATGAGGGAAGAAGAGGCAGCCCAGAGAGCAGCAAAGTCAAGAACTAGAAATGGTCAGACTTCTACGTATGTCCAAAGACAGACAGGACAAACGACAAGGGTGCCACTGCTTTGGTCTTCTGACTTGAGGGCTCGTGTAGTCCTGACTTGCCGGAATTCTTCATCTTCCCCTCTCCCAAGTGCCTGGGTGACAGGCATGAGTCACCGCGTTTGTCTTGCAGTGGATGGTTCTGACTCATTCCAGCACCCCACATTACGGGTGCACAATCCCTAAATCCAGTTTGCTCAATAACCTTGCCTCTGTTCGCCCTGAAGTCTTGCCATGCCCCAGACACTTTACCAGCCTGAAAATTGACACACGGGTTTGCAACCCTCCTGAACGTGCACAACTCCCTGCCTCCAATGTGCAAGGAAGAGAACTAAGGCTCCCAAAAGATTAAAATCATATCATTTTGTGGTTTTGGAAAGTTTGTGAAGTTAAATTTGTTAGCTGTAAAGAAAAATTATACTGGGCATTGTGACTCATGCGAGCAAATCCTAGCCCTTGAGGGACTGAGACAAAAGTGTAAAGTTGAGAAAGCTGGTCTGGGCTACGGAAAGAAAAAAAGGCAAAACCCAGCTCTAACAGAGAACACGTGGTGCTGAAGACTCTCCCATCCAGGGAGGCCCCTTCATGAGGCACCGCTTCCAATCATCAGCGCTTCTGCTCTCCCCACGGGGAAGCACTAGGGAGTCACTGAAGAATGGGGGGGGGGGGTCCCTTATGTTCAAAGAAGGGCTGAGACTTTCCACCAGTCTCAGGTGAGCTGCAGCCCATCTCCAACGCACCCTCCCTTGACATAGACTAGTTTTCTGAACATTCTAGAAAATTTCTGCTCTACTTTTCAAAACCCAAGTAACTGAATTTGATCATAATCTGTTAAATAATGCTGAATAACTACATAGACTTTTACTTTTAAAATTCAATCTAACAACAACAAAAAGAAAAAAAAAACCCTTAAGACCAGCATTTTTCAAACATGCCAGAAAACAAAAGCATTCCATTCTCAGAGGTATCAAGTTCTTACTGCTTGCTCATGCCCAATCACTGCTCAATTTCCCACAAAAAAGTATTCTGGGTCTGCGTGGGAACTTTCCACGTTACTACTGACAAGCAAATGAAACAGACGAAGGCGGTGTGTTGTATGAACTGGTAGAAACCAGTCTGGAGGGATATGCCCCAGCATTCTCAAAAACCAGGTAATTTAGACCTCAAGATAAACCAACTCTCTCGTGTGCAGCAGTTCAGTCCTAGGAAACCCCTGGCCGCTGAACCGGCAGATTATTACTGTCCCTAGGAGAAATGCCAAGTTCGGCTCCGAGGACTCTCCAGTCAAATTCGCCAGCTCAGTACTTACAGAATCTCACCTTGTGTGGTCAAGATGCATCCATCGGTTTACACTGTTGGTCCTTTAACACTGCATCTGCCTACTCTATACTTTCACAGGAAGCTACGGTTTCTCACCCTCGGGAACATGAGCCAACACATGAGCACTATCCTTAGGGACCTTTTAAATAGTGGTAAGTGTGAAAACACACCAAAAATGACACATTCACGATGGACTGCTAAAATGAGGCTGCAGATCCTTTAGGGCTGGGTAGGAGAGCATGCACTCGAGAAGCCTGTTTTCACTGCTCAGCTCACGCTGCAGGCGGTATAGTGCCCAGGTCACACTTAAATCTCGAGTCCTCCAAGAATGCTGCTGCTGGTGTAGTGATCTCAGGCTCACATTAAAATGTACCAAGCAGGCAAACCTGCAAACACGGAAGCCGCAGACCAAGGACCGGCTGCAACTCATAGGGATTGACAAAAAATAAAGAAAAAGCTCTCCATCTAGTGGCGACTTTTTACAACCACAAAGCTAGTCAATCTAGTTCTTACACAAAGAAAATGAACCACGGATGGTTTTAGTTACAGGGAGTCACAATGAAGTCACAGCTCTGGTTATGCCAAGAAACAAATTTTAGCTGTGTATGTATACAAAAATGGTGATTCCTATGAAAATACCCCAAAATGTAAGAAGGGAGAAAGATACTTGGGGTTCACCATGACAGACATGCTGGAGGGTCAGCCAGCGTTCCTAACACTGCCAGGGCTTAGGGTCCAACCACTTGTGGCTGGAGATAAAGTGATACAAGGAACAGAACAGAACCCCACTGACGCTGTGCTACTTCAGTTTTAAAATGTCCAGGCAATGGCTATACAGAAGGATTAGATGATGCTGAGGACCGTTCAGCTGGTGGAAGGGAATTCTGAACCTGTTCAAGGTACACCTTACAAAGCAGAACTCGGACACTGATGCTGGCTTCCCGGCACGTGCAGATAGATCCCAGGTGCCCATACCCTGAGTAACTCATTAGCTCACTCCTCAAACCTGAGGAGTAAACATCAGAAACCAGGCTTGCTATGTGCAAGACAAACACATCTCTAAGTAGCTAAAGGGCAGATCTCACTAACCAAAGGTCTGCTGCTGTAGAAACCAAGTTTCTCAGCAAGTCTGTAATTCACAAGGCACACAGATCTGTCCTGGAAAAAGGAAACTGTGACTTTGGACAGAATCTTCCTTTCACAGCTTGCTGGTGAATCTGTCATGTACCCATGAACCCAGCAAGGTTTTGAGGTCCACCCTTTGACAAACTGAATTGGAATGTATTTTAAAAAATAAATACTTTTACCAAACCATTAATCCCAAAATTCATGTTCATTCTTGCCCACTGAACTTCTCAGGAGGAGCAGAGGGAAAATAAGAAAAAAAAGAAAAACTGATTCATTTAAGAATTTAAATTATTTAATCTTTTTTATTCCGTTACCTACCATTGAGACAGTCTGTAACAAAAGAACAGCGTATATTAGATTAGCACACAGTATATATCAGACTAGTATCCAAAAAAAAAAAAAGCCACTGTCCCTTTGGCTAGCTCCGCTTTCTCAGCAGATCCAAAGTCACTCATCCATCCAGAGATAATGGTGCCTACAGTCCACAAAGACAGTCTGCCAACCATGACTGCTGACTGATATTTAAATTGCACAAAGATAAAGCTTTAAATGTGTTAACTTTTAAATTTAGACTTATCTTGAAAAGTCTTAAGGGTGAAAACTACAAAGGGAGTAACCGGCAAGCTAGCATTTGAGTAGAACTCTCTAGAAAGCAGGTGTGTATCTCTGTATACAAGAACAAAGAGGATATATACACATGAAAATGCATTTTATGGCATTCTACATCATTCATTTAAGTACATTTTGGCATTTAAACAAATATCAAATTAAGCTTTAATCTAATAACATAATGATTTTTATTTTTAAATATAAAAAAGATAGCCAAACACAAAAGTACAGAAAACCCTCATTTAATATAGGTTATGGAAATTTTAGAAACAGCAACAAGGTAGCTTTTTACCCCACACTAAAACCTAAATCAAACTTCTTTCCCAAGTCAGTGACAACCTAAAAGCCTTTCACGCTATCAAGGAAAAAAGAAATGAACCAATTAAGTTAACTGGGAACGGGTAGGAGGGGCTTACTGAACAGAAGCACTTGCACGCACACGGAAAATGCTTGTAGTCACTCCCATACAGAACCCGACATTGCACATAAATCACAACGTGCCTAGTAATGAACTGTGAAATTTTGTTTAAAAAATAACAGTAATAAAAATAAACTGTTGGGTTATCATTGGAATAATGTAACACATAAGGCTGGAAAATACTGAAATACAGTGAAGACTCAAACACAAGTTTACTTTTAAAAAAATGCACAAAGACACATACAAACAAAAATCAATAAAGTTCACCAGAGAAATTCAAGGTTAGACAGGAAAAGGCAGGACCCTCGACAGGATGGTCTGAGCCATCCTACCCACCCTCATTAACATAAACTGGGGAGAGAGACTACCTCAAGAACAAAGTTTCCTGTCTCTGGACACCTGACCCCACCCACCTTCAGCAACACTGCCTCCATTTCTTTATCTGGGGCTTGTCCTGTCTCTGTCTATTCTCCCTGAACCCAATCTCCTAGGATCAGTAACTGCGAACGCTCACACCAGTTAGCACAGTTAACAGGTGTAGCCCTCAAACTGTCACTCACAATTCTGCACATCATCGTCAGTATTTGGCACCAGCTGGATGAGTAGCTATCATCAGAATCTGTGAGTTAAGTCACAACCCAGCAGTTGCCATCTACAACTTGATTTCAAACGTAAAAGGCAGGTATAGTCAGTCACAGCAAATATTTCAGGGTTGGAGAAGAAACACTAGCAATATAAAAAACAAAACCAGGCTGATGGGGCTGCACTAGTTTCTGTCTAGTAATTAGCAAAACATGGGCATTTCCCACACTTCAACTAGTTGAATTACAGGCAGATGTCTTTCTACTGTACTAGGATTTTTTTATAACCATTCTTTAAAGGTTAAAAATCATTTATTCTATAAAGAAATACAGCACACATGGCCACAGTCTAAGTATGTCACTTGTGTCATATGGAAATGGAAATTTGTGTCACTTAAAACCTGCACTGTTATTACATTATGGTAACTCACTGGTGCAGGACCGCCCTCACCAAAAAGCATGGCACTCACTGCCCAGGTGGACACCAGCACTGCACAGAGAGAAGCAGTAAGAGCCAAGTCCATACAACTCTCTATTTATTTGTGAATGAGCACTCAGTTAATGCTCCAAATGAAAAAATGGTGCAATAAAGCAACTTGTAGTATAAAGAGACAGAAGCTGTGAAGCCAGTGGCCACTTGGCGCTGCGGAGAGAGAGAAAGCAGTCTGCAGGAGTGAAGCACGGACGGGGAGAGAGGCACAGAGGCGGGTCTCAGACGGACAGCGACACAAAGCTGTTGTACTGCTGGATGTTTCGCTTGAGGATATCTGAGCATGGGCCAAGGACACGCTCAAACCGAGGCCGGTCCAGCTTAACACACTTCAGAGGGCCACGTGCAACCACTGTGGCAGCCCGGGGACGATTCATCAGCAAGGCAATTTCACCTGGAAAAGAGAAGAGCCATGACTAAGACCAAACCAACAGCTATGGAAGCCATTTCCTTAAAGGGTCCACTTCTGAGAATGAGAACAAAAATTTACTTTTCTACTAACTTAAGAGGCCACACAAGAACTGCTTGTTAAAAATACTGCCGACTACCAGGTAGGTAATAAAGTCCTTACAGTCAGTCAGTCATGCCTACAGTTCATGCCCCAACACTCAAGGGGCAGAGACAGACGGAAAGACGACTAGTAGTTGGAAGCCAGCCTCACTGAATTCCAGTGAATTCCAGGCATCTAGGCTACATAAGACACAGGTGTGAGTTTATGTGTCCCCATGTCCATTTATTAACTGAGTAAAGTTAAATCTTACAGTATTTCTCTGAGAACAAAAAAGAGTATAGGCTAAGAAATCCAGCAGGCATCATGACTATCATCCCAACACTTAGGAGGCTAAGGCAGTAGATCTAAAGAGGGGCAGCCTGCACTGTTATCTGAGGCCCTATCTCAAAAACAAAGGCAAGGCATGGAGGTGTATACATGTAATCCCATCACTCTAGAAATAGAGGCAGGTGGATCTCTGTGAGTTTGGGGGGCAACCTGGACACAGGGTGAGTTCCAGGAAAGATTCTGCTTCAAAAATAAGTAAATAAGTAAAAAAGAAATTCAAAAACCAATTATGGAAAACTAAGAGATACTTAATCCATGTATTTGTTTGTCAATAAGTTTAACATACCGAAATAATCAGAAGGCCCCAGTCGTCCCACTTCAACAAACTCTTCGTTTTCTGACCGACGCTGCAGCACAGCCGCTGTGCCCTGTAATAACATCAGCAGGAAGCTAAATAGATGCTTCCTAACCGAGGGAAATGGAAAGAACCTGTGCAATCTCAGCTACTCTGCAAAGGGCAGGGAGGACTCAGCAGTTATTTCAACTTGTCTGTGGACTAATGGTCAAGGATCAAAGAGGGGTCAATCACGTCACCCTCCCCTCTCCCACACTTCCAACCCTGTGATTTCCGTTTAACCAGGACCCCGCTATCAAGGTTCTTATCAAGCTCAAGCACTTAAAAAGGAGTTGGGTTAGTAAATTTTATGTAAAGGTCCAAGCCCAAGCTTGCTGTGTCTTTCGAAAATAAAATGTAAGACTATCACACTCAAGGTTCATGCTTCTATGGCTGCATTTGCAGTGTGACAAGAGTTCTCTCTCTGAAGATGCTATTTGGACCTGCTTAGCAAGCAGGATTATAGGTAGATCTATTTCAGATAACACTAACTTTAGAATTGTAAATCAATACCCAATAGCCTACACACTTGTGTTTTAAACAATGGTTCAGAATCATACTACAACTGAGGGGGTTTTTAGCATAGTAAAGAATAATATCACCTATTGTGTCTAAAGCCCTTCCAGAATTCTCACTCTATTCTTTTAAAACTGTAGCAGCCTAAAAACAAAATTATATTCTGAAGTAAAAGATAATTATGAAATAAAACTGTCAGGTAGCCCTAAAACTAAACTATGAATCAGATCAGCTGTACTCCCTCTAGGTGAACAATACTATCAGGAGTCAAATGCAAGCTCTTTACCTCTAAAATAATGAAGAACTCATCCCCTGGTTCTCCCTGCACCACAATCTTCTGTCCATCTTCAAACTGAACAGGCTCCAATGCATCAGCCACTGTGAGACGCTCCCACTTGTCCAGAGACTCTGAAAGACAAGAATCCAGATTTTCTCCATGTATTTGGAATTCTTAAAAATAATAAAATTTAAGCAAAAGCAAACTCTACAGAGATACAACCAAATAGCATCCCCACTCAACATCCCAATAGGACTGTTCTAGGTGCTTGGCAACAGCACGTGTCTTCAGTCACTGCTGTCTCAGCAGGACTACTTTCCTCTAACTACAGATAGCCTCAGAGTCTTCCTTTAACTCTAGTTAGCTTATATCAATGGCATCCCATGGCAAATGGCTAAGAAAATGCAATTCTGAACATTAGCATCAAGTACAGCAAATCTACAAGTAAGTAACCAAAGTAATACCTTCCCCACACACCACTCCAAAGGTTCAAAGAAGTAACTTATCCATTTAACCCCTCAACTCAGTTTACCTTGTGAGCAACAAGGAGCGAGAAAGTAACTTTTGTTCCCAAAGACCCAACTAATGTTCAAAACACTAAAATAAAGGACAAATAAGGCAAGAAAGTCAAATCACTGTAACAAAACAACATCAGATTGTCATCTGGGAAAAATGATCCCCCACATCCTACAAAGGACAGGTTTTAACATCTCTCAGTCTATGTAAGGAAATCTCAAGAGGTATGTCCAATTAATCTGCTCATTTTCAAATTTCAACAGGTCTGAATCTTATCAAAAGAGACCAATAAAGATATCTAACTTTTCTCAGACAAAACCCATTCCTGGGAGCAGGACAGAAGCTGAAGCAGGAATAACTAAATGTCCAGAGCACAAAGGACACTGAGAGCTTCCTGCTCCTATAAAAGGAACAAACAACCTCTATAGCACCAGAAAGCTTTTCCCAGGTCTAATTACAGGGCTTGGCATCTATTAGCAAATTAAATGAATACACGTTAAAATTACTGTTAACTTAGACAAACTTTCAGCACTGACAAAATTACATATGTTCATGTTTAGCAAAAGCAAACAAAAACATGTATGAAAACACATATGAATGAGCTTGAAGACTTATGTAAAAAAGCTGTGCCAAGTATCACAAATTCTCCAATTTATCAATTCTTCATATAATTTTCCAAACTCACCTAAAATAGACACTTTACTAAGGAATTCTTCATACATCTTCCTCTTTCTCAGAGTGCTTCCCTGTTTTAAAAAAAAAAAAAAGGCATGTCCAAAAGAGATGCAATTATCACATAACACTGCTAAATAATCTATTTTCATTTTGCACAAACAAGAAAAAGTAAACTCAAAGCTTGCTACTTCTGTTCTGAAGTGTGAGCTCCTGCACAAAGCTGTTAGGATCTAAAGCAGCAGCAGGTGTGCAGCCCAAGGGAGGGCACATTTCTATCAAGGTGAAATGCCAAGCAGCTCTCCAAAAAGCCAACTAAGCAGCCAATGCATGACAACAGTGTAGCTGACTATCTCCTTCCCCACAGGCTGCAGGCAGGGAGCACACTACTGCCACCTGCAGTGAGGAAGACAGTCCTAACGTAAGATCTCATCTAAGACAAAGTTTACTGGGTATACTTGGAAGAAAACAAGAATACTGTATGTGCTTAAGATAAACTTTGCACACAAGATAAATGACCCCAGTACTACTACATATACCTGTGTAAGTATGTACACAAGATACACATGTGCATATGACACACAGCACCTGCCCACCATAGCCACAGGTTCCACATCTGCAGTCAACTGCAGACAGAAAGTTTTATGGGGGGAGGGGTGACACACTTGCTCAACAGGCAGACTTTCTTCCTGTTTCCTACAGAGTGTATGGATAATATATTAAACAATGTTTACTGTGTTTTAAACATCTCAGCTAAGCTTGTGATAGTTTAGCACATACAGACTATGTACACGGATTATGTGCAAATAGTGTTGTCATTTTAGATAAGGGACTTGAACATTCGTTCATGGGTTTTAATGCACATAGAATAGAAAACTGGGAGGGGAGAGGGGAGGAGCCTGCAGCTAAGGAGCTAATGAAAACGGACAGGAGCCAGGGGAAGAAGAGTCAGCTTTCTGCAGGGGTGTGGCTGCTGCAAAGCTGCCCATGCACCACTGTGAATTCCAGCAGCACTAACAAAACTCGGTGGAAAAATATATGCAGAGGTGGGAGAGGGACAAGACTCCCTCTCTCTCAGGTACAGGACTATGAAAGTGTCAACGAATAAGGAAAAACATTTTAAACAAAAAGAAATATACAAAGATTTCAAAACACAAAAGATGGCATATTTTTTTAAAATTATGTGTATGTCTGAGTATGGGTTTGTGCACACGAGTGCAATGCCCATGCAGTCGAGAAGAGGGTATCAGATCCCCTGGAGCTGGAGTTATAGGTGTTTGTGAGCTGCCTGGTATATGAAATCTCCAGACTGTATCTTCAAACAGCCATATGAGCATCAGGAACTTAAAAAAACATCAGGATCGTTCACTGGGAATTAAAACATCTAGAGTTCCTCTGTAAGATTATCACAAATTTCTCAAGAAGTCTCATTGTGAGCAGAATGCCTCCATGGCCTTACTGCTTTGATAGTTCCTCTAAGAAGGCAGCATGCGTTTATTACTGATAACCTCGTTTCAGTTGAGAAAAGATGACTTTCTGAATGACTTTAAATGACCACATGCACTTAAAACCAATCTAGTGGGCAATCTAAAGGGGGTAATTTTAAGTTAAGATTCACCCACTAGCAGATTGCTAAGAGGAGCTGATCGTTACACACACACACACACACACACACACACACACACACAAGTTTCTCTGGTTACTCCTGACCTAACTTTTGTTTTACTAACCTTGTCTCAAGTGATATATTAACCTAAACACAAAACTATTCAACCATTAAAGGTAGGGAAAGCAATATTTTA